TGGTGAGGAAGAGCATCACTTGCCCTTATTGCATTGTCATTAAAGAAAATTTGACTTTGTTGTTTCTCTATTTTTTAAAAAGTTTTTCAGGGTTTCTTTGTCTTAAAATGCTCAATAATAAAATGGAAAATGCAAATCATAACAACTACTGGCAAAAAGACATCTTAGGAAAAATGTTAAATGTCTCCTCATGCCCCTAAAGCTAGAAGGAGAGACGCCATTCTTCTTAAAACTACACTAATAAGGTGGGAAAGTAATAAAAGCAATTAAAAACACACGCATCATCTGTGGATGAGGATGACAAAGCTCATAGTTCATTTTTGTTAACTTTTTATGGACACAAAATACATTCTGTATTCTAAGGATATAAGTCTATATGCCTCTTAAATCAAGACTTTTAATTATACTACTCGATTTCTGTAGGAACTTATCTTTTGTCTCCTAGATCTGATTGACACAAATGTATTGAATTTTCCCACAGAATTGTATTTATCAAGCTCTCAGAATTTATAAATTTTTGCCTTATGTATTTAGCAGGTTTGATACTATTATGCTTCTTCATAAATTGTGCCTTTTATCAATGTATAAAATCCATCTCTTCGATTCTGAACTTTCAATAAGTTTTCTGCAATACTGAAATTTCTGCTTTTTGTTTGTCTGGTAGCTTTTTGACCAAACTCACAGGTGTTTATTGTAAACAGCATATGCCTGGATCTTGTGTCTTGACTCAGTCTGTCTCTGCCTTTATATAAGAAAATTCAGTCCATTCACCTTTAGCACATGGACTGATAATTTATTGCATTATATGTCACTTTGGGTTCATATTGATTTTACATCATGAGTTTCTGTTTCCTTTCCCATAATTTTTCTGATTTATTTCTGTATTTTCTATTTGTTTAGAGTTCTTTCTTGAACTGTTTCTTCTGATGGAGGAGACCTGAGTGATACAGACTCTGAATTCTTTTGTTTAAAAAAAATTTTTAATGTATGTTTATTTCTTTATTTATTTTTAAAAATTTTTAAATTTATTTTTGAGAGTCAGAGAGAGACAGTGCAAGCAGGGGAGGGTCAGAGAGAGAAGGAGACACAGAATCCAAAACAGGCTGCAGGCTCTGAGCTGTCTGTCAGCACAAAGCCCGATGCAGAGCTCAAACCCATGAACCATGAGATCATGACCTGAGCCGTAGTCGGACGCTTAACTGACTGAGCCACCCAGGCACCCCTAATGTTTATTTATTTTTGAAAGAAGAGACACACACACAGAGTGTCAGCAGGGGAAGGGCAGGGAGAGAGAGACACAGAATCCGAAGCAGGCTCAAGGCTCTGAGCTGTCAGCACAGAGCCTGACATGGGGCTCTATCCCACAAACCATGAGATCATGACCTGAGCCTAAGTCAGATGCTTAAGTGACTGAGCCACCCAGGCACCCCTTAACTCTGAATTCTTTCAAATCTTCAAATAGTTATTTTACTAGGACAGGGGACTATATTTTGGCTGATGGATTGCAGCCTCTCCATTTTCCAGTCAATAACTGCTGTTTTCTAGCTTCCAACATTATAAGTGAGGAGTCTAATGTTACTTATCTTTTCAGATAACTTGCCCTTTCTGCCTGAAAGCTTATGAGTTTTCTCTCTATCCTTAGCAGGTGGGAGTTATATCTGTAAATGTCTAGTATGAATCTTTACTCATTCATCCAAACTAAAATGTAGTGAGTTCTTTAGATCTGCAGATTCAGGCCTTTAACTTTTTTTTCAGCCCAGAAAAATTATCTATTTTTTTTTTTTATTCATTTGTTTTTTCACTTCTATCCTTCCTTTTTCTCCTTCTGGAAGTTTGGTGACTGCATATTAAGTCTCATAGATCTATCCCTTAAGCCTATTATCTTTTTTTTTTTTTTTTTAATGATTTCTATCTCTTCTTTTCCCCTATGCTTTGGGGGTATTTCTTTAGGCTACTTCTTAGGTCTCAAAAGTGACCATCTCAATTCATTTGCTAAATTGATTAATTAGGAAGATATAGGTAGAGAGATATGGATTTAGACATTTTTAAATTAAAATTTTTATTTTTAAAAGTAAATATGTATATACTCACTACATACATATGTGTATTGTATATTTGTTTTGTTTCGTCATTTCAGTTAGGTTCAAATCTGTTTAATGGACTGTTTTAAATGGTAGCAGTGCCATAGATAGGAGAAGACACAGAGGCAAGGAGGTCTTTACTGCCACTGGCTGTTGAACAGAAGCACGAATTCTGCCATTTTCCTACTGAGGCACCTGGATAAAACCCTCTTACTCTCCACTCTACTTTACAATCTTTCAGACTCAGCACAGTCTACATGTTGAACTTCTTGGCCTCTTGGGAGTCAAAGAACCCCAGTAAACTTATACAGGTCTCCTAAGGGGTCCACAGACCAAAGGTTTAGGCTGTTTTCAAGAAACCCCACTTTCAAGTCCTCACACCTAGGCTCTGATATTGTTCTCCATATTCTTAACTAGCCCATAAATAAGGGGGAGAGATCCAACATCAGGTTTATAAACCAGTGCTCTGAGCTTAAGGTTTCTCTCCATAAGCCCCAGTTCTCTGGTTTGGGAGAAGCAGACCAGCAGAATTGGGAATAGAAGAGCTTGTTCGGCAGCCAGTTCTGAGAATCTCTCCCATGATCCACAACTTTAGTAGAGAGCTACTGTTCTTTTCTGTGAATGACCTTGTGAAATGGGACACACATTCACTTTCTTTTACATGAAAAAGCCTTGATTCTTCCCAGTACACCCCAACCTTGGTATGGAGAGGACATGTATCTGGGTGGAAAGGTCTTAAGTACTAGCGTTCTCAATTAGAAAAAAAAAAAAAAGTTGTTTGAAACAAAACCCTGGATTCCACTTCCATCTCTAAATAAGTTTTTTTTTTTTTTTTAATTTATTTCTGAGAGAGAGAGAAACAGCAATGAGCAGGGGAGGGTCAGAGAGAGAGAGGGAGATACAGAATCTCAAACAGGCTCCAGGCTCTGAGCTGTGTGGGCTCGAACCCACCAACCATGAAATCATGACCTGAGCCTCAGTCGGATGCTTAACTGACTGAGCCACCCAGGTGCCCCTCAAATTAAGTTTTAAAAAGCACAAAGTCCAGGAGACCCAGCCACACCTCTGAGATCCCTTGTATGCAACAGCTTATTTTCAAAGTGAATTTTTTAAAACATTTTGTACGTTTATTTACTTTTGAGAGAGAGACAGAGAGACAGACCATGAATGGGGGAGGGGCAAAGAGCTCAGGAGAATATGAAGCAGAATATGAACAGAATATGAACAGAATATGAAGCAGGCTCCAGGCTCTGAGCTGTCAGCACAAAGCCTAACCCAGGGCTCGAACTCCTGAACTGCAATATCATGACCTGTGCCAAAGTCAAACCCTTAACCGACTGAGCCACCCAGGTGCCCCTAAAAGTGCATTTTAAAAATGAGACTATAACTTAAAGAATGACATTGCCATCTAATATTTGATGTTTCTATGTACCAGGAAGGCTGAAAAGCAAATTATGTGGATTATCCCACTATTTCTTAACAATCAGGACTACTATTCTACCAGTTGTAAGCACGGCCTCCAGTGCTCGCTCTTACTGGTCAATGTCTATGCATTCAGGATCTTAACTAAAATCTTATTAAAATCTTCATCTTACAGATGAGAAAACTGGGGATGAAAGATTAAATAGCTTGCCCAACATGACTTAATGGGTAACACCACGGACTTTGAAGTCAGTTCTGTCAGACAGTGAAACCCAAGCTCTTAAGCTCTGTGCCATATAGCCTCTTGAATGTGTAAGCCAGGGAGGGGTTCAATGATTTTCAAAATGTGATCTTGGGAGTCATAAGAAATTCAGGCATTCATTTCCTAGTGGAGGCCAGAGGGATAGGCTCCGGACCACACACTTCGGCTAAACATTGAACTGTAAATACATAGCTAACATTTAAAGAGTACTTCCTATGTGCCAGGGACCAGTTTAAACATTTTGATGACACTAACTCAGTTAATTCTAACAACCAGCTTGTAAAATAGTTATTATGCTGCCTACTTTAAAAATGATCTAAAAAGGTTGTCATTCAGCCAAGATCACATCCTGAGTGGGTGCTGTGGTGAGAACAGAATCCAAGACTATCCTAAAAAACGTTCCTTGACTAATATTTGAATACTACTGATCCAGCCCAAGTTTGAGGAAAAGTGCCTAAGGAAATGAAAACATTTTCCTAAGAGAACATTGAACAAGATAATAGAAGACCAGGTGGTTGGATCTCTTTCCAGAGCTCCTTCCCACAGCTCCGCCTGGGTCCCACCTTGCCTTTCTCATCTCTGCCAGGGGTCTCCAGAGTGCCCAGGACTTGGCAGGAAGATAAGAGTGAGGAAGGAGGAAAGCGCGACCCCTCTACCGCGTCTGCAGAAGCCAAGCGGATCCTGGGCAACCATAATCTCGAAATTGAAAGGTCCTCTTCGTGGCTATGCGACTCCGACCTGGAGTTTAGGGACAATGCTCGGGCCAGGGCTAGTGGGGTGCCTATTCTGCCGAGGGCTCGGCACAGCGGGAGCAACCACCCCTCACCCACAAAAGTGAAGTGACAGCAAGGTTTTCCCCAGGCTTCTGTTGGGGGGGGGGGGGGCGTTTCGCACTCGTGGGTTGTGAGGATTCCAGAATTCTACGAGACTGTCCGCTCAGTTCCCTGAATCCCCAGCCTCGCCCCCTTCCCAGGGTCCCTGAAAGCACCTAGAATAGTCCTATTTCGTTAGCATCCGGCGGTGACTCGGTCCTACCCTCAGCTAAGAGCTCGAAGAACTTAGGTCTCAGGCCCCTGATCGCCCGCGACCGACCGGGGGACTGAGTCCCGGGCCTTCTGTCCAATCAAGAGCCACGTTCTCGGGCGCTATCCTTTCCCGCCCCGCCCCTCCCGTCTCCATGGAAACGCTCTGAGTGTCAACTCTGAGGCCCGGGGCTTCCTATTCGGTCTAGAGGGGCTAAGGCCATTGTTTGTGTAGACTGTTTGGGCCGGTCCCGTCCGCCACCCACCCCCCCCCGAGGCTCCACAAGTGACGCGGATTCTCGGGAGCACCGAGCCAGAAGCGGACAAGGGCGGGGAGAGCTGTGGCTGAAGAAAGAGTGGCAGAAAAGGGAGGGTGATGGGCGGAGAAGCGGCTCCGGCTTAGAAATTCCGAAGACACCAGTGTAGGTGGGTCCTTCACAGCCGCCCTCCCCAAATTAAAACTGAGTAAGGGGAAGGAGAGAGGAGGACAGAGGCAGCTTTGACCCTGGGACCGGGGTGCTCGGGGCTGGAAGGTTTGGGGGCGGAACTCGAGTAGGGGGTCTGGACGTGGAACGGAGGCCGCGCGCGTCTGCGCTGCAGAACAGAGGCCGCACGGATCCGTGGCCCTGACACGGGTAGATCCCGCTCCTTTAGAACCATTTGTGTGTCTGAATCCAAAAACACTCGGGCAGCCTGTGGCGCGTTGGGAGGGCCCAAACATAGGCCCAAACATAGACGCATGCTCTCGGGCCGTCCACGAATGGTTTTTTCCTTTCTAGAGAAAGAGGGCTCTTGTTTATCATTTTCCCCAGGGACCTGTGGTCGCCAAGGCAGGACCAGGGTAGCAAAGGCTCACGACCCCATTTTACAGGTGAGGAAAGTGAGGCCCTGGGAGCTCTAGAAGTTTGGTCATTTTCAAAGTTCTACAAGTGGTTAGTGACAGAGGCTGATGAGGTCCAGGGAACTCTAGATCTGGGACCGTTCTGTAAGATTCTAGGAATTCTGATAGTAAATCCAGTATTTCTGTGTAATAAGTAGAAAAGAGCAATGGGATTATCTTTCTACTTTGCTGATTGAACAAAATGAGAAAAATAAGAATAGAAAGAAAATAAGTCCTCTATTTATTATTTTGCTATTTTTGTTAATACTTAATTAGGAAAGCCTTGAGGCTCAGCAAGGTTACATTACATTAGATGCCATCTGCATCCCTGGAGGGACTGTGAGATCAAATTCTGTTTTCATACCCAAACAAGAACTGTACCTTTGACGTTTTTAAAGGTTCAGAAATAAAGTCCTGGGTTCCCATTCTCATAACTCTCCCATCTGGCCCTAGAAAAGGAACAGAAATGTTCTTGGGTTCTTTTTGGCCACTTTCTAGGAGGTTTGGGAGTCACACCCAGTTAGTATGGGGATCGTGGTGAGTTTGGGAATTGCAAGGCATGACCAGTCTTTCATTCCTCCTTTCTTCTCCCTCAGCTCAGACTCCTCAAAACTCCACCCTTCCCTAAAAGAGGAGCATAAATAATGGAGGAAAGTTCACTAGTCTCCTCATAGTCTGATCCCAGGTGAGTAGGATTTGTACAAACACTAATATGTACACATATGTACAAAAATAGATACATAGGTAACTGATATATAGAGAGAGATTAGTATATATAAAAAAATTCGAACAGGAGAAGTAGGCTCCATGAGGGCAGAGAACACTTCCAGTACATAAAACTGTGCATGGCATGTAGTAAGCACTCATTTAATATTTATTGAATTGTGGGTGGCCATTATTTGTATAATTTTTTTCATTTAACATACAATTGACATTTTTTCAAATGGTTGTTTGTAGCGTGAGTTTTAAAGACTATCTAGTATTCCATTTCAGGTATGTTTATTCCATTCCAGGTATATGTACTGTATTCTAGGTATATATGTTTACTTCCAGCTATATGTACTTTATTTAAATTTTCTTTTTTGGGGAAAAATTTAAGTAATTCTCAATATTTTACTGTTATAAACATTTTCTATTAAATATTTTTATAAATAATTTATGAAGTGTATGTCTGTATCTTCAAGACACATTAGGAACAATAGGATAACAGAGTCAAAGAATATAATGTTTATATTTTAGGCTTTTGAAAGACTTAAGTTCTTTTTTAGAAATACTACCTGAATTAACTTCTGTAACCATTTGATGAAAGATCCTATCTTTTTGGACCTTTACCAGCTCTGAGTATTGAAGATTTTGCCTTGAACTGCATCCCTTTAATCTTTAGTAAGGTTGACCATTTTTTGCATACTTTTACTGATCATTTGCTTTCTTTCTTTGACATAAATAATGTATGCATCTTGGCATGCATTACTTTTTTTCCCTACTTAATTTTTGTTTCTATTTGATAAAAAGTATTCTTTGTATGTAAAAGACATAAACCATTTGTTAATTGCTATATTTCTCCCTTTTGTCATTTGCCATTTAGGACTTCTTTGTTCATGTAAGTTTCAAATTTGTATACGGTGAAATCTTATTTCTTTTTATTAAGACAGTTTTATGCTTTGAGAGCTCTTCTTCACCCTCAAATCTAATACATAATTATTTTCATTTTCCTCAATTTTTTTTATAGTTTCAAGTATTTTAAAAGTTTAACTCTGTAGTCTTTCAAGTATGTATTTTGGTGTGAGAAATGACAGAGCTTAAACATTCTTTCCCACCCCCCACTTAGTTATTTAATTTTTCTTATAACATTTACTTTCTCCATTGATTGTAGCCCTACCTGTTAATATACCAAATTACTAACTTCATCACATACATACACACATACACAGCTGTACACACAGATCACTTTTGGGGCTGTTCTGTTTCATGGACTCACTTCTCAGTTCTGCTATCAGAGTTCCTTTATATATAGTGCATTTAATAGGCAGTGAAGAGGAATTTAGCCTTTTCCCTCATTTAAGGATAAAAAAAGGAAAGAAGATAGCTCATTTTGGGAAAAAAAGGAAATAAAAGTTACTTATAAGTTTTAACTATTGAATATATTAACCTTTCGGTATGTTTTTATTTTATAGCATATTGGTCAAAATACAGGCTCTGGGTCCACTATCTAAGCTTGTTTCATGCCTCCACCCCTTCTGAGTTATGTGAACTAGACTGCATGACCTAACTAGTTTCTCATCTCTGAAGTGGGGAAATAGAACTTACCAGGATTAAGAAGGTTAAAAGATCAAACATAAAAAAACCAGCACAGTACTTGACAAATAGAATCACTAAGAACTTGTTGCTATTATGTTACTTATTATTTACAATATAATGGGTATGTGATGCAACTATCTCTAGTCACTAAAACATAAGAATTGAGCAGGGAATCTAGTTTAATTTTTTTTCTTTTTTTGGCCAATGGCTAGTCAGATATCCTGGCATCATTAATTATATAGGCCATCTTATCCCCACAAATGTGATATTACCTTTATCATGTTTGGAATTCTCTGCTATATTTGGGTCCATTTCCAGATTTCTGTTTTTTTCTATTGATCTTTATTCCTGTGTCAACCTCATGGTATTATAATTACAGAGTTACAGAGTTTTAATATGCCACTGGATTAGTCTCCTCTCATTATTTTATATTTTAATTTTTTAAATGATTTTTAAAAATTTATATCCAAGTTAGTTAGCGTATAGTGCAATAATGATTTCAGGAATAGAATGCAGTGATTCATCCCTACATATAATACCCAGGGCTCATCCCAACAAGTGTCCTCCCTAATGCTCCTCACCCATTTAGCCCATTTCCCCTTCCATAGCCCCTCCAGCAACCCTCAGTTTGTTCTCTATATTTGAGTCTCTTGTTTTGTCCCCCTCCCTGTTTTTATATATTTTTTGCTTCCCTTCCCTTATGTTCATCTGTTTTGTAACTTAAATTCCACGAGTGAAGTCACGTAATTTGTCTTTCTCTAATTTTGCTTAGCATAATACCCTCTAATTACGTGCACATAGTTACAAATGGCAAGATTTCATTGTTTCTGATTGCCAAGTAATATTCCATTGTGTGTGTGTGTGTGTGTGCGCACACACACACACACACACATACACACCACGTCTTCTTTATCCATTCATCAGTTGATGGACATTTGGGCTTGTTCCATACTTTGGCTATTGTCAATAGCGCTGCTATAAACATTGGAGTGCATGTGCCCCTTCAAAACAGCACACCTGTATCCCTTGGATAAATACCTAGTAGTGCAATTGCTGGGTCGTAGGGTAGTTTTATTTTTAATTTTTTGAGGAACTCCATACTGTTTCCCAGAGTGGCTGCATCAATTTACATTCCCACCAGCAGTCCAAAAGGGTTCCTCTTTCTCCGCATCCTCGCCAATACCTGTTGTTGACTGAGTTGTTAATTTTAGCCATTCTGACAGGTGTGAGGTGATACCTCATTGTGGTTTTGATTTGTATTTACCTGATGATAAGTGATATTGAGCATGTTTTCATGTGTCTGTTGGCCATCTGGATGTCTTCTTTGGAAAAGTGTCTATTCATGTCTTTTGCCCATTTCTTCACTGGATTATTTGTTTTTTGGGTGTCATTTAATAATGGTTTTTCTTTCTCTCACAAAAGTACTTGAAAATTAGTTTCTCAGACACATCCCCAAACCTGTAAGCATCGTTTAAACTATAGATAAGTTTAATGAGAACAAAATTATGTTTATTTCTCCTACCTAGGATTGAGGAGTGTTTTCTAAATTTAAAAGCTACATTTATCTAGGTTCTAAGTATTTTTGTTAAGCTTTTAGGAATTTATACTTTTGTAAAATGTTTTTATTTATTTATCTTTGAGAGAGAGAGACAGAGATTGTGAGTAATGGAGAGGCAGAGAGGGAGACAGAATCCCAGGCAGGCTCTGTACTGTCAACACAGAGCCCACTGCGGGACTTGAACTCACAAAGCCCAAGATCATGACATGAGCCAAAATCAAGAGTCAGACACTTAACCAACTAAGCCAGCCAGGCGGCCCAGTAATTTTATTTTTTAATTGGTATTGTAAATGCAATTTTAAAAATAACTTTTAATGACTATATGTCTGAACTGTGCATGGTTACTTAATTTGAACTTTTATTGTGATGCATTCATATATGCAAAAGAACATACTAAAGCATATATGTATAAATTAATATATAACAACATGAATACCCACCATCTAGACCAGCAAATACTTTTAAAAGCTACCTTGTCAACCTCACAATTTCATTCTCTCCTTTTCCTAGAGAGGCAACTGCTATATTAAATGTTGTAATTATTCCTTAGTTTTTCATAGTTTTATATAAATGGAATCACTATAAGGATTCTGTGAATGGCTTCTTTAGTCTAATGTTAGATTCATATACCTGAAGTTTTTTTTACTGTTGTGTATGCTTTCACAGTATGACCAACAACTTATTTATCCATCCTACTGTTGTTGGGCCTTTTGTATTGCTTCCAGTTTTTTACTATTACAGTAGTTGTAATGAAAAAGTTGTTGTATGGACCTTCTGGCATACATGTGTATGTTTTTCTAGGGTACAAACCTAGTATTAGAACTGACTTTCCTTATAATTACTAATAATTTTCAGATTATTTTCTTTGGTTTCCCATATACACCCATACCCTCTACAGATAATTGTCTACTTGTATTGAGAAGTGCTTTCATCAGTAGTCTAAATATAGTGAATTTGCAGTATCTCTACTGGGTTTCCAGTCCTAATGGGTATGCCTTTGATGTTTTACCTTTAGATTTGAGACATATTTGCATGTCTTTATTTTTATTTTGTTAACTTGCTTTGTTTGTAGTTTTAAATGAAAGACCCATACTGAATTTTAAGAAGTACCTTTTTGGCATTGATTAAAATATATGGCTTTTCTTACTTAACATTATTATGACAGTTTTCAGTTAATAGATTTCTTCATCTGGGCCTTCCTTTACCTTTTGGAATAAACCACCATTCTCCCATGCTACAATTTGCTTTGATATTGTAGCAGATTATATTTGCATTTTCCAAAGATGGCCACAACTGTAACATATCTGACTCTTCATGCTCATCTTCGAATGTGACTTACACTCTTACCACCAAAAAGTAGGATCTGTGTCCCCTCTTCTAAAATCTGGCTGGGGCTTATGATCACCTCAGTCAGTGGACTACCGCGGAAGTGATGCTATGTGACCTCCAAAGCTAAGTCATAGAAACAATGCAGCTTTTGCTTGCCTTTACATTGAGAGGTAGCCTAGGCCACATGACCAAATGCAAAGAAACTGAGATCTTCCATCAACAGTCACAACCAGCCTGCCACCCATGTGACTGAGCCACTCTTGAAGTGAATACCCCAGACAAATCACTTTAAAAAAAAGTAATTGCTGCTCCTGTCGACAAGTAAACAATCCTATGAGGGATCTGAGCTAGAACTGCCCAGCTAAGCCATTCCTGAATTCCAGAGAAATTGTAAAAAATAATAAGATAATACTGACAATATGGCAGTATGTTATAAATGTAGGTGTTGCTAGATTTCATTAGCCTTATATTTTACTTTATTCTTGAAGTTTATATCAATAGTCATTAGTAATACAATATAGATCTATAGTTTTTTTTTTTTTACTTTTACTGTCTCAGTGTTTTCCTGAATGTCTTAAAAGTTTTGTTTTTTTTTTCAATATGATTTGGAATAATTTAATAACTTTGAATATTCTGTTCCTTGAAACTTTGAGAGAATTTATGTGAGAAAACATTTGACTCAGTTTTGAAGGTCATAGTTCTTTGATAACTTGAGCAATTTCTTTCATATAGCTGATCGGTTCAGGTGTTTTGTCTCTTTTCTTTAGGACTTATTGAATGGTTTTCTAGAAAAAAATATATTTCCTATTAAGATTTCTTTCTTTAGTTTCTATTACGATTTATTTTTTAAAAGCTGTGGAAATTGCCCCCCTAACATCCAGTTAAATTTTTATCTGTTGCCACTTCCCCAATGTCAATTCTAACTTTTTTCTATTTATGCTCACTCCTTTTTTTCCCCTTTGGTTAGCTAGCTGGTACTTTATCTATTTTATTGTTAATATTTTTCTTCCAAAGAACTGGCTCTTGGAACATAATGGTAAATAGTTTTCAATTCCACCATTTTCTTTTACTTCCTCTATAGCTTTCCCTTTTTTAATCTATCTAGTGTCCACATTGTATATGAAACTAAGTTAGAATCCACTTTTATGTTTTCCCATATAATCTGGTTTCACAACACCATGTAGTAAATAATCCATTCTTTCTCTTTTATGCACAACAATCTTTATTGTTAATGTGTTTTCATATATAAACAAACACGGTCTCTGAGTCTTCCATGCTGTTCTACTGTCTTTTCTTCAGTTTTGATTTAATATTGCAGTTTTGTGGTGTGTCACTGTCTGGTAGAGCAGGTCATCTTGCTTGGTTTACTTGAGTTTTTATATTATAGACTTCTTTTCCTTCCCTGTAAATTACAGAGGAAAAAGTAGACTGTGTTCCTCAAAAAAGTCCAGCTGGAAATTTGAGTGGAGATATGTTGAATTTAATTCAACCC